TTTCAAGACGGCGCCGCTTCCGCAAATAGCAGAAGTGGAACCACCTTGGTTTTTCTTAAGATAAACATACCATTTTCTATTTTTTTCTAAATTATAAATGCACTATTTTATTCTGATTTCAACGCAATTAAGAATTAAGTAGGTATCTATCTGTCATAGTTTTTGACATATGTCATATAACATAGTAGGGTCTAGTTAATTGAGCGAATAATCGGAAGTAAAGTACGTAACGCAGTTTTCATGGTATTACAATTCCGATAAAGGCAATAAGACTAATATCCTTTAATGCAGTACATATGCAACGGTGATTTAAGTCATTTGTTACAAGGAGAAATCTATTTTTAAACCACCAGAGTGTAAATTGCCCTACGTTTGGCTTCATTTACTATCAACAAAACTCGATCGAAAGCAGAGACGAATAAATCGCATGTATATGGCACATTGCTCCCAAAAAAACTCAAATAATGAGCGGTGGAAAATAGCGAGTTCGGTGTAGTTTGACTTTTTTATTCTTGTGCATTAATATCCATAACTTCGAGAATTTGACGAAAGTTTTGAATGCACTCGAAGTATATAGAAGCTTGATTATCCTAAAAATTTCCATACAACGAGAGACAATTGTACCAGAGCAAGTCACAAAAGGGTTCAACTGTATCACCCCAAAAATGATCCAGTTATCAGTTTTTCTTGGAAGGAGCCTTATTTCAAGGGAGCTTTGTAAGCTAAAGAAAAACACCTATCCCAGTAATAGCTGTAACTTACTTCAATTTTGTTTTAATTGTATAAAGTATTGGTGTGTTAGCTTTAAGAATTTGCAGCGGATGTTTATTTAACGTAAGCATAATAAATTAATAACCTTGAAAGAACCGATCTGTGGAAATAAACTACATGGAACAGATTTGCATTGCATTTAAGTGGATTCATACAAAGGAATTTTGTGATTTTTTAATTAGTTAAGAATTTGTTTTTCATTTTATATGTACCGGGTGCTGCCTAGCGCGACGCAGCATAGGGATTTCAATGGTAATTTCTTTATAGTCAATTACTAGCTCCCATAATTATTTTAGAGCAAAAGTATAAATAGAGAAAAAAATACTGCATCTGTTCACATGATTACTTATAATTTTCCGTTTTTCAAAACCGTAGAAATCTACAAAATAAAAAATCACATTTTTATAAATCAGTGATGCTTTGGAATATTTTAACAAACTACAAGCGCATCGCAACTCAGTTATTGTTGTTTGACGTCGAACGATTTTCATATTTAATTCTGTTTCAACTAACCGACGCAAAAAAAGCGTCTATGGGGTAATGTTTTTTTAAAGAATGTAATGCTGCATCTCCATCGTATACTATTTGTTTATCATTTTCCGGAACCTGAGTACATATTTGAAGCAAAAGAAATTGATTTGAGGAAGAATTGTTCTTAAACTTGTATTCGGATTTTCCGCTACTGCAGCCAAAACGTTGAATGTATTGTCGTTTTCCTGATGGTTTTGATGGACATTTTGCACGTTATTGCAGTTGCAGTGATTTAACACTGTTCCTGATGTTCTTTGAAACTTGTGCACAATCCTGTCTACTGTGGTACTGCTTGGAATTGGTCGATTGGGTTACTTCACAGTAATGCAAGCAGAGGCGGATTTAGAGGGGGGCACTAAGGGCACGGGCCCAGGGTGGCAAATTTTGGGGGGCGGCAAATTACCTGGCAATCCTAACGATCGAATCGGAAATAACCAGAAAATTAGATTTCGATTATGTGATACGTTCATTTTCTGAAGAAAGTTCACGGAGAAAATTGTTTTGATTAATCCAATAAATTGTTGAATAATCAAATAAAAATACTTATTACTTATAAGCATTTTGTTCTGTAGTCGAATAGTCCACGAACCAATAAACTCCCTTAGATTGCGATTTTATTTTTTAGCCATAGGATTTATGAAGTTGTGGGCTATTTTTGTGGTAAGAATGATCTAGGGGCGGCAAGTTTCCCAAAGCCCCTGGGCGGCAAAAGTATAAATCCGCCACTGAATGCAAGACGTACGTTTTGGACCGGCAATATGAATTGCACAGCAGACTCAAGTTGCGAATTGCCATCTTTTTCTAATAAGCTGCAGTATGTGTCAGACAAAGTGAACAGTTAAGTTAATTATTACAATATACATGGATGTGTCATACCCAAGTATAGACGGCGCAGACAATAGCGTAGGTACCTGTTTCATTAATAAAAAATACCGGTGTAGAGGTAATTGTTTAATCAATCGAAATTGATACGATATTGACATCTTTTTGTCAGTCGTCAGATAGGTACGCATAAAACTTACTTCTTCGACTGCACAAACTTTTTTCATAAAATTAGTACCTATACAAATTTGTTATGGCTAAATTTGTTTCTAATTAGCCATGGATGCGAATTATTTTGAATATGTGGGCTACATTCTACATGTTTAAAGTGGCTACTAATTTTAAAACGTCATTAGTTTTTTTTTACTATTTCTCGTTGATCTAGGGCCTTTAAAAACCAAAAAATTCTTTCTCAATCTGTAAAGTACTCGCATTTTATCGTAATCATGGGTTGATGAATCTATAATGAATATGACCTTTTTTAATAAACGATTTTTAGGCAATGCAACGAAACGCAAATTTTTGCAGCTTTTGTAACACTTTTTATTTTTTTCCATCAGATACCACACATTCTTGTCAAAAAAACAAAACACACATAGAACGGGGCCCAATTTTCAGAAATCTATAATACCATTACATTTCCATGACTCACCTCATTGTGGGACACTGCATTATGCAGTATAATAATATAATATAATAGGCAATTATCTGAAGCAAATTGATGGACTACCATAAAATTCTCTACAATTACCTACAAAATGAAAGTCAACAAGGATTGGTTCCAGACAATTAGGTAACTAATTAATTAGCTTGTAATTCCAATATAATTACACATCGTGGATTTAGTTTCGTAATTAAGGATGTTGTTAATTACACAAAACTTGTACATTAAACAGTAATTTTCTGAGAAAATGAATTACATGTACAGTAGGTACCAGTTCATTGGAAATTTATGCTTTGTGACGATTTATCTTAGGAATAGATTTTTTTAGGTTTATGAACTTTATTTACCATTAGGTTTCTATTGAATATCGTGAGGCGAAATTCGTCTTGTACTCGTCTGAGAATCGTGTAATTGTTAGCGACAGAGCCGAGATATCATCTGTTACGATTAAAGATATAGATCAGTCGCCGACAGTGCCAGGGTAATTATTTTCCAGTATGTATAGGTAATGGTCTCTGCCTGCTCGGGTGCTCGCTCGGGTGTACACTCTACATGTTTTGAGAGGTGTATTTTATTTTCACTTATAAGTAGGTGACAATGAAAAATTAAACTTTATTAAAAAAATGATCAAAGTCCTCTTGTGAGATCGAAGGGACTTCAGCGCATTTTTGGTTAGCAGATCAGTGTTTTAATAGCCAGTGTTGACTCCACCATCAATAAAAGACCTTGTCGAAGGCTACCACATTCACCTTGTCGGTACCCACTTCCCACTTTCCGCGTGCACCCAAAGTTTTGACTCCACCATCAGTAAAATCTTGTCGGGGGCTACCATATTCTCGTTGTCGGTATCCACTTTCGATGTCTCGTTCCCTTCCAATGCGCGTTTGAAGATTGGAATCCACCATCAGTAAGATCGTGTCGCGGGCCACCACATTCCCTTTATTGGTACCCACTTCCGACTCCCCATTTACTCTCAATTCGCGATTCAAGATTTGACTCCACCATCAGTAAGATCGTGTCGCGGGCTACCACATTCCCTTTGTTGGTACCCACTTCCGACTCCCCATTTACTCGCAATTCGCGATTGAAGATTTGACTCCACCATCAGTTAGATCTTGTCGGAGGCTACCACATTTCCTTATGCTTACTAAAAGTCTAAGTGTTACCCGTTTTGAACAGATTTTTATTAAGATTTTATTTATGTTGACGATGTTTTGAGTTCTGAAATAAATTCTTTTGTCTCTTATTAATTCTTTCAACACTTCTCCGCTACTAGAAATGAATCTCATATTGTCAACATTGGGTGGCGATACAATCATTGATACGATAATTAACGCAGTGTGTAAAAAGAACTCACGATTCCGTTGTATTTATAAATACAATGGTGCCAAATACAATGGTGGCACCCATACGAAACCCCGAAGGCAGCCCTGGAATAAATTACCTACGCACGGACAACTTCGTGATTTTCGAAGAGTAATGAACCGAGCGATTCGTTAAATAACGACGAATGACGCTCGTTTTTGGAAGCTATGTACTTACTACTTACTGAGAGTGAATGGTATAGCTTTATTTTCCATGTTAAAAGAAATAAGTTCCATCCTCCTAACTTCCCATCCGCCACGGAACCCGCAAAATCGCCAGAACTACAACCCCCGGCGCCGGCGGTCTGGCCTAACGGCACAGCCGATGAAAGAACCATTTTTTCCAGCTTGATGAGATTTATGCAGGGCTATAAAAAATCATGACCATCGATGACCATAATGCCGATTCGAGATCTTCGTGGTGATATAAAAGCGCGTTGGAGGAATTTGAAATGTGTGCAACTTTGTCTCGACAAATCTTGTCTTGCTCCATCTCATGCAAGAACAAGGCAAGAATTTATCCCGTTTCTTTCGCAATGTATTTCAGTACAAAAAGTTGCAGTTTCTATCAAAATTTAGTTGTTTTTACATTATATATGCATGTAACCTTTGGACTCACAGTTCATACTTGTATAATGTCCTCAACAGGGCACCTATAAGTGGTGCGTTGAGTTGGATACACATTTACCATCTTAATATTATTTACGCATGCATAGTAGGTAATGGACGATTGTTTAAAAAGTACGCTTGGTGACATTGAGATTTGAGGCTAATGAAATTGATCATTAACTACAATTCGAAGAATGGTTTAGGCACTTTACTTTGTTAATTTACATTGTATCTATTGTCTGTAGCAACAACAGTAAAAAAAGGTACCTACGCGTTTTTCGAATTCGTAGATATAATCTGTAAGACCTTTGAGTTATTTATACGAATATAGTGTTTTTCTTTAGGTTTCATAGAGTGCGAATGAAAATATTTCAGTGAAAAGCTCCGCATTTGCGTAATTTGTCATCTGCTGAGTCTTTAAAATATTTCTAAGGTGCGATGGCATAAAAAGTGCATACTTTTATTAAGTAAAGTGTAGAAAAATGTGGCTATCTAGTTAATACTAAGTTTTTGTTTCAGATCCAGTAATTTGCAATGACAACGGTAGTAGGAAACGGAATTCAAGATTACTTGAGCTCCATTTACAGTTATTATGTATGGACCTTATCATTAGCGGGTAAGTTTTTACTAAATTAGGGTAATTACCTATTAATTCTACGAAGTCGTTGGTAGTCATATTTTGTTAGGTGTGTGTAAATTCTGGAATTCCCTAATGTTAAAGATACTTAGGTACATGGCAAAGCCAATGTCTGGAATATCCATCTGCGTATCGCACAATTTCTCTAAAATTATTTTTAATTGTATGGGTTTGGTATCAGGTAGATGTTAATTGTATTCTTGTATCCAAATACCTACTAGCATAAACAGAAAATAGTGTGCGAAAAACGGCTACTACCGCTGACCGTGTTATAATATGGGTCACCGATCAACAATACCTAGAGAATTAGTAATGTATCATTAATTTTCCATTTTTAAATGCAGCATTTTCTCTACCGGGTCGTGTCAAAACTCCCCTTACCTCGATTTGCCTTCAATAGCTTCTAGCTCTGACCGATCGGCGCCGGCGACTGCTTGCTACCCATTTGTCAGTAGATCTAAATTACCACCCAAAGATGATAAAAATACCTTACCGATCATCAAATTTCTTATTTGTCGAGATATTTTCATGAAATTTTTTCCCTGCGTAGGTGTTTCTAATGAACATAAACTTACCGCTTAGATATAACCAAAATTAAGGCAAAAGGGGCAAATTTTTTTATGTTATCACATTTTCCTGACATTTTTGCGTCGTTCCGAAAACTTAGGTCCCTTAGTTCAAATAAAATAATATAAGTAATAAAATGACAATAATTTTTAACTTTTTTTCAGTATCCGTTTTCAGTTTTATTACAGTAATAATAATTTGTTAAACATTTGGTTGTGATGCAAAGGGAGTCCAATAAAAAGCTGAGTCGGATATTATATCCGTTATTCAATGAACCCGGCTTTAACTCACGAGTATTTAAATTTTCTCGAAATTTCTAAGGGCCATTAGAATAAAATCATCAAATTAGACGAATCGTATTTAAATCCCACAGAAGGTTTTATTCTTTTAGTCTTCATTTGTTGCCCAATATGACTATCCCATGCCCCCCGGCGCAGTTGTGCTTAAATGGTGGGGGGCAAACATTTGCCTTCAAAAGGGGATTTTTCGGTTTTACGGTATTCTGCATTGAATTTTTTGACCACCCATGCCCATACTAGTGCTCATCGAATGAACAAATTTTACATATGTATGAAAAACTACCTTTTGTCCCTGCGACTTCGTATGCGCATAAACATCACTCTTTGTCTTAATTCAGCTTTTTCTCGTTGCCATGGGAATTTCGGGAAGTGCTTTCGAAGTAGGTACACCTTTCAGCTTTCTACGCCCAGCAGTTTCAGCTTTGCGGTGTCTATCAGTCAGTAACGGACGTTTTATAACGTTTTATAGAAATCCGATGAACAGCTTAAAAAATTCTTCCATTTTGAGCCAAGACAGTGTTATACGCTTTTCTTTGCATCACTGCATGAGCTAAACTTGGAAGGATCAGCTTTTGTCATCGATGATGGATTTCTTCTCCACCGGCTTGTGTTGAAGAATGGTAAACCATTACAATTAATCATCAATATTATTATATAAGTCATGTATACTGACTTGCTTGTCTTCCTCTTTCCGATTGTATTCAATATCGAGGGTGCCAGCTCATAATGCTAGAATTTTTTAACTGTTCATCTTAGATTTGAATTCTTGTACAGTCATTGCTCTATTTTGCATACAAACTCGACTTTGTCAAAGGTTTGATTAACCAGGGCTAGCATAAAAGGCTTACCAATTTCAAAAGCCTTATGGCAGTTGATAAAGTTTCCGATAACGCCTGTGCTGATAGACATAACAAAATTAATAACAGGGAAAGGATCATGGGATTGAATCCACAACAAATTTAGAATGTACATTTTTGTAAAGGTGTTTTCTCGCCGGGAACGAGGAAAAACTAAATTAAGACAGAGGGTCGGGGACATTTGACATTTTCAATTTTTTGGTGAAATGTTAGTTATTTTGAAAAATTTCAAATTCATCATAAAGGAGCAACTTTGCTCCCATTTAACCTACACTGTATCGCTCACAGTTGCTTTAAATTATCTAAAACGTCGACATTTGATGAAATTTCAACATGTCCAAAGAAAGGTATCGCAATAGCTACGTAGCTCAAGCTAGGAAGCTACAAACTGAAGCAAAATAACTAAGTATGTATCAATTTCCAGTTTAATCAGAAGTAAAGTAAGGCTGAAAATATTTTAGTTTAAACGTGCTCGTAAAATAACTCTTACCATATGTGCAAATTAAAAAAAAATTACTCACATCTGCTTCCCATATAACCGTCAACTCATCTCCTTGTTTGCCATCCTGTATATTTAATATAACGTATACCTTTACCTGGTATTGATTTTAATGCACTAAATTGTACCAAAAGTAGTTTCCATTGTACCTTTGGAGTTTTTGGAAACCCGGTACCAAAAAATCACTGCAAACTTTACGAACGCACAGGACCAATTTTGAATAGACCTCTAAACTATTAATGCATCTTCTTCAAAATTCATAATATTACGAAAACCAGTTTTCTTTGTACCCTTGCCGTTTTTAGCGCATTTCCACAAAAATAAAAAAAAAATGCGCTATTGTGGCCACTTTGTCCGTCCGTCCGTCCGTCCGTCCGTCCGTCCGCTAACTTTGCGACGCTACTAGTTTTTTATCTTAAGAGCTATTGTTCTACTTTTTTCGCTATTTGGTTCGTTATGGTGTCGAGTCTTGTACCAAGGAAGGAATTTTTCTGTACCGCTTACAAAAAAAGTTATTGTAAAAAAAACAAAAAACCGTTTTTTACATGTTCCATAATTTTACACTTTTGCCGTTTATTAACGATCCTAGAGATCGTTTATAATTTTGCATTGCTATCTGTCGCCTGCCGGTTGGTCTCTCCGTCTGTTCCTTTGTCTGTCTGTCCATCTATCTGTCCGTGTGAACGATAACTTTGTTTAAAAATGTTCGATCGCTTTTACATCTCCGTTAGTTATGAACTGAATTGCATGAAATTCAATATGGGCATAGATTTAGCCATATAATACGCAATGCCAAAAGTTGGATCGAATCGATTCAAAATTCACAGTGCCCTTTTCGCATCTCGACCATTTATAAACCGAATTGCAAACTTTTTTACTTATAAAAGTATTTGAATGAAATTTGATACATAGGCACTTTGGAATAAAGGAAAATCAAACGCCAATTTCAAAATTTGGTTTTGCGCATGCGCAGTGCCAACTTTTTTATTTATGGAAGAATTTAAACGAAATTTGATACATAGGCACTTGGGATAAAGGAAAATCAAACGCCAATTTCAAAATTTGGTTTTGCGCATGCGCAGTGCCAACTTTTTTATCTATGGAACTATTTAAGTGAAATGTGATACTTAGGCGCTTGGAACAAAGGAAAATCTAACATTAGTTTTAAAATTTAGGTTTGCGCATGCGCAGTTCCAACTTTCTTATTTAGAAAAGCATTGAAATGAAATTCTTCTCATAAACTGAAATTGAAGTAGCACGTTGTAATGGAACCCACAACGTCAACAATGGATTGCCCATGTGCAACGCTATCTTTTATATTTGTGGCCGGATTTTTACGATTTTAACAGAAGTTGCATTTTACAAATGGGAAATGAATGCAAGTGGAAATGCGCTTTATGTAAATCGTTTACGATTACTTTTTAACTTGTTAACGTTCTGGTGTAGTAGTAGGCGTTGACAAAGTGTTAAAATAGTTCATTGATGGTTCCTTTAAATGATATGAATAAAGAATGACATGCTTTTTAGAGGTGGCCTTGCATAAGGTCTCTAGTTGTTCTATGCTACTTCAGTTTACCTTGGGAATTAGGAAAGCCGCAGGAATACCTAATTCGGAGTAACCGGCAGAATGCTCGAAATTGATCTAAGGAAATTCACATCTCTGTCACAGATGAAAAATCTTACCTCAGCCTAGGTTCGAACACCCGACCTCCGGCTATGTAGCACAACGCTCTACCACTGAACTACACAGTCGATAAGACTCGGAGTCCGACCGAGATGATAAAAATGATCAAAGTCCTCGTTTGAGATGGAAGGGACTTCAGCGCATTTTTGTGTGGCAGATCAGTATTAGCCAGTTTTGACTCCACGATCAGTAAGATCTTGTCGGGGGGTTCCATATTCCCTTTTTTGGTTCCTATCTCCGACGTCCCATTCACCTGCACTTCGGGTTTGACTTTTTTGCAAAAATGCGCTAAAAAGGGCACTGTGAATGTTGAGTCGATTAGGCTTACCTTATGGCTTTGCGTATTGTAGCGTACATTGAATTACGTGGTTTATTTATCAGAGCTAATTAACAATAAATTTATAACAGTCTTAAAATGGATTAGTTTATAACAGTAAATACAATATACCACTGACAATTTATAACATTACAAGAACGTATAGATGTTGGAACTGAACTCGAAACACAATTAGATTTGCTTCTATAGCAAACGACATTCTAAAAAGACAGTTCAGTGCTCAAGAACGTTTCAGAATGTTCTCGAACAAACACGTCATATTTCTAGGAAAGATTACGTCACATCCGTCTTCGTTCTTTATCACCGATGACTAATCACTCATAGCGCCTCGATGTCTATCGGGATTTTTGGAATATTCGCTACGCTTAACAACTCGACGCCAAAATTATCGTGGTGACATCAAAAGACATCAAAGGGCCAAATAAAACATAGATTATATCACCATGAAAAAAGAAAATGCATAGCAAGTTTTACGGGTTTAATCTGTTTAATTGTAATATTCATTAGTATGCCCTGAATTTCCATGAACAATCTTAAACACAAAAGTATGAATGATCATATTTACAAAATTATCAAAACTACAAAATACCTCATTCACAAAAAATCAGAAATTTAACAGTACAATTTCAATATCCAAAGATTGGGCAGAAAATAGCCTATAATTGGTAAATAATTACATCCCATGAGTTTAGTTGAGGACTACAAGACTGTAAGCAGCATTGAGCTGTTTATTGCTCTGTGGGTTTCTTTAAGCTTGGGTCAGATATTTATCTATTTACTAGTGTGCTTTTCTATATTTTTACTTGTTTCAATTAAAAGCTCATTATGACGTTTATTTACAGATGCAAGAACGAAAGGATGGCCGCTAGTCGACTCCCCGGTGCCTACATTTTTTTATATAATGTTATACCTTTTAATAGTTTGGTCTGGACCAAAAGTTATGAAATATAGGAAACCCTTCAAATTAACTTGGGCTTTAATACCGTACAACCTTGCAATGGCCGGTCTTAATTTATACATTTCTATACAGGTTGGTAAATCACCGCTGACTAGAAAAACTTACGAATCTTTTTTCTTCAGCTATTCACAGCCTCCACAAGATTAAGGTATAGCTACATATGCGAACCGTGTAGGCAGTCGCATCACCCGGATGAGCTGCAGGTAAAATATTTCAGTTAGGAAACGAATTTCTTTAAATAAATGTGGATTTTTAGATTACCAACGCGGTTTGGTGGTATTACGTATCGAAATTGTTGGAGTTTTGCGATACATTCTTCTTCATCCTGAGAAAGAAGGACCAGCAACTTACATTTCTGCACGTGTACCATCATGCAACCATGTTTTCTTTTTGGTGGATCGGAATTAAGTGGGTGCCAAGCGGATCGAGTAAGTTATAAGCACTTGGGACGTTGGAAGTAAAATCCTATTCTCTTCCAGCATTCCTACCGGCAATGGTAAATTCGGCGATCCACGTTCTTATGTATTCATATTATGGTCTTTCTGCATTGGGACCGCATATTGCTCAATATTTGTGGTGGAAAAAGTATTTAACCATTCTGCAAATGGTGGGTACACTTTTTTGTTCCGAACACACTGACCGTAAAGATAAACTTTGCAGATCCAATTTACATGCGCGCTTATTCTGGGAATCAATGGAATTAGAACGGGTTGTGAATTTCCATTATGGATGCATTACACTCTAATTCTCTATATGATTTCGTTTATAATTTTGTTTGGAAACTTCTACGTCAAAGCATATATGGAAAAAGTAAGTGCTTTATTACTTTAGTATTCAACTTAATTATAACTTAGTTTCGCGTAGTGGTATAGAAAGTGACATCCATGATGTTAATATTTATTTCAAAGAGAAAAAGTAATGGTGAAAGTGGACGTAATATAAGATATTTCTCCAATAGCAACGACAAGTCAATGACACGTCTTTTTTTAGGGATCCAAAGTATTTTACGGAATGGATATGGGGTGTGGTCAAGGAGTTATGTTTCATGATAATGGAAGTCCAATGCTTTATTCGCACAGTAATGGATACACGGAAGATGGGCATTCAAAGAAAATCGATTAAAGAATCGATTAAAGAAAGAAAATTTCAACTAGGAGTGTATATATAGCATAGTTCCATACATCTAATGTTGATAATAATTTGATGCATTTTCAATACCTACTGTTACCTTACCATTTATTAAGTCCTCAATCAAGGTTCTTCGGGACTTAATCAATACATTATAATTACGATGTTGTTTGTTATATTGTTACGGATAATTATAATAGAACGATACTACAATATTTATGCAAATTTTAACCAAAGCATGGTGTACAATGTTTATGGTTGTTAAGTTATTGTTCAATACATTCAGATACTAACAAAAAATTGTAACTTGATTGTTAACTTTAAAGCCTACAATGTCAAAAGTCAATTATTTTAATGGCATTAATAAATCAGAAATGGAACTGTAAGTTGCATAAAAAAATTGAGATACGCCTTTTGCATTGCGCAGGAAAATTACTTTTGAACGATTTACATTGAAACTAAAAGTAAATAATCCCTAGTAAATTACATGATATCGTTTTATGTATAATTGATTTTATTTCTTTTATTATACGTGAACTGTAGGTACCTACTCTTTTTGCGATGTAAGTACGTGAAAGTTTTAATAAAATATTCATGATCCCCATATTGTATTTAAATGCGTACTACATAATAATTACGCATTGGTGTAGAAAGCATAACAGGATCATTAGTAGGAAGAAGTGGAAGTTGACTTTGATTTATATTTAGTAATCAGAATAGGTCAGTTACCACGGAATGTTATGCATCACTTGGGATAATTTATCATCTGACGTTGGGTGGCCGCTCTAAAATGTGCGAGAATGTGAAAAATAACAACAAATTTCGTCACTTGAGCTAATGTTGGGAAGTATAGGAAATTTCATTATCATGTAGCAAAGTGGTAAAAACAGCTTCACATTTTAAAAGGTAGGTACTCTGTGAGAAGTTAGCGTGTGGAACGCAAGTGTAAAGTTTGGAGCTAACACAATAAATCTTTTAGTCAACGTTTTTGAAAAAATCCTCGAACACGTCAATTTTGATCTTAAGTGAAACACATTTTACTCTAATTGGCGCTTAAGGATCATCTTTTGTTTTTGAGATGTGACGCAAGCGATAATTTTTTTAAATGGAAACCTTATTTTTATCACCCGCGCGTTAGTGACGGAGGTATTGCATCGAGTTGACCCCCCACTTTTTTGTCGGAAATAGGCGTTTTGACTTTTGAAGCACCGGCTAGTAAAGAAGCTGGGGTAAAAGTTGAAGGTCGCTTAATTTGCCCGCCTTTGAGCGAGCTATAGCCGTGTGTAAAGGGAGTTGTTAGTTAAACAAGTTAAAAAGTAATCATAAACGATTTACAAAAAGCGCATTTCCACTTACATTCATTTCCCATTTGTAAGATGCAACTTCTGTTAAAATCGTAAAAATCCGGCCACAGATATGAAAGATAGCGTTGCACATGTGCAATCCATGTTTGACGTGCTACTTTAATTTCTGTTTATAAGAAGAATTTCATTTCAATGCTTTTCTTAAATAAGAAAGTTGAAACTGCGCATGCGCAAAACCAAATTTTGAAACTGGCGTTAGATTTTCATTTATTCCAAGTGCCTATGTATTTAATTTCCTTCAAATACTTTTATAAATAAAAAAGTTTGCAATTCGGTTTATAAATGGTCGAGATGCAAAAAGGGCACTGTGAATATTGAATCGATTCGACTCAACTTTTGGCATTGCGTATTATATGGCTAAAGCTATGCCCATATTGAATTTCATGCAATTCAGTTCATAACTAACGGAGATCTAAAAGCGATCGGACATTTTTAAACAAAATTATCATTCACACGGACAGATAGAGGGACAGACAGACAAAGGAACACACGGATAGACCAACAGACAGACGACAGACAGCAATACAACATTATAAACGATCTCTAGGATTATTAATAAACGCAGAAAAAATTCCTTCCTTGGTGCAAGCCTCGACACCATAACGAACAAAATAGCGAAAAAAGTAGAACAATAGCTCTTAAGATAAAGAACTAGTAGCGTCTCAACGAACGAGCGGACGGGCGACGGACGGACGGACGGACAAAGTGGCCACAATAGCGTATTTGTTTGTGGAAATGCGCTAAAAAAGGCAGGGGACAAGACAGTGGTGGTGAAAATGTCGGAAGAATTGGTTATAGCCGGAGTTGGCATACGCATGCGTATTCTGAGACCAGTTGGTTGTCGTGTATAAAAGTTATACACGTTTTACATTCAAAACCAGCATCTCAGGAAATAATTCATGGGGGGTGGGGTTTAGAGACAGCGAAATTTGATGGCCGTTAGGCACACTTCACGGTCTAGGCTACATATTGCAAAAAATTCCAGGATTTTAGTGCCATTCCCCTACAAGTTGTTCAAAACCGCAGAAGTGGATCCGGACGGACGGACAAAACGCAAACAATACCACGCGCGCACCTAAGTACACTAAAATAAGGCCCTATTCTTTCTCTGTGCACAGGTAAAAATGTGTTGCGATAACTATAACCGTTTTCAAGTAATCAATTTTCACGCATAACCGCCATTTTTTTGTAAAAGTCAAAATAACCTAAAAACCATACACTGTAGACGACATGTGGGTATCAATTTTACGTAGAATCCAAAAATGCAAACAAAAATAGGGGTTACTACTTAAATTAACGAAGTTACTAGTTACTTCCGGTATTTCCGGACGCGCCACCATTTTGAAAAGATTTTACATCTATTCGGACTTCAGAGTAACTCCTAACTGCAAATTTTCAAAAAATTCCCTTCACTTACCGAGAAACATTTAACTAAAGCTCCCAAAAGTACTCTGTAATACTACCCCGTTCTTAAACTTGTTGCTCATTTAACAATTTACAGTGAAAAGCGATATTTTCAAAGGGGAATATTTGGTTTAAACCATCACAATAATACCATTGAAAAATGTCTGTACTTACCAAACACTCAATACAAATGCAGTGGGTCACGTCAAAATGCAAAACCGTGACGTAATCCTCCATCCTACACTGAAGCAAACAGGTTTTTTTAAAAAGAAATTTCAATTTTATTTCATACTTTTTAATGATGCAACGACTGGAGAGACAAGGTCTGTATTTTCAATAAATGCAATATCTACCTGCCTCTTCTGGGCTTAGGTAGCGAAATAAATCTACCCAATTTTCGTTTTCAAATTAAAACGCAAAAGGTCGTAAAATTACCTCACAATATTGATTGAATTTAGGTACTGCTTCAGTTGTTCACACTTGGTGGCGCTATTGTACGAGACGCCCGCCGCCGCGACGCTGTCTAGCATCCCTTGCAATCGCAGTCGACCTGTTGTTAGTGATATACGTACACTTCAATTTAGGGCCTAAATTTAAAGTAGTCAGAAAATCTAAGTGCGGTGTAATTGAATGCTGACAGAGGGGTAAGTGCCTTTAAAACATATTTTAGATGCAGAAACATTTTGAGTTTGGCATGACAATGCTCAATGCATCTGTTTTTAATTTTATTACCGCCAGCTTGTTGCAATCCAATCTTGTGCCATCAAATAAAGAATTAGGTAAATAGGTAGGTAGGTATGTCTTAAGCTTGGAGAAGTTGAAATATATAGACAATGTAAACACAAACGTCAAAAATGTGTTGACTTTTAGATATAGAGCTGTCTAGTACTTTCAAAGACAATTCGTGTAAACTGTAAAATATTAATCACATGTTGTTTCATCCTACGTCTTTTGAAAATTTACCTTTGAACGAAATGATCATTTGCATTATTTTGCATCATACAACGATAAAATGCAGATTCTTTCACATTATGTAAGTACCATTTATGAATAATGTAAATGCATTGCCTGGCTATATTACCCACCCTTATTACTGACTAAATCTGATAGTAACAACTTTTGGAATCTATCATGCAAGTTGATTTGAAAACTGTTTTATCGCCGTACATTTTGGTGCAATTAGGATCAAGGGAATCATGAACGCAAAGCTTAAATTGCTCATTGGCTATTCACATATGCAAATGCGGTGTTTAACCAATCTTTTAAATTTAAAGACATCATTTACATGCAGGTGTTGTTTATTTTTTGGTATTATTTACCTCATGGACTATCCATTCCACATGCGTCAAACCGCTTATAGCAGTGTACAACTGTACATTACAAAAAAATTCAGTTCATAGTTAAACATGTTTAGTACCTGCAGGAAAGAAAGTATTTTAAAAACAAAACAGACTTATATGGTGTACCTGTAGACACATAATCTTAGGCCGGGTTTCACATTATTGCATTTCAATTTTCAAGATCCAAATGTTGCAATGGTGTAAAAACCTGTAGGTATCATGGTAAAAAACAACAATTCGGTATGGCATAAATAATATCATAATTGAACACGAATATTATTGTGCAGTGTGCTAATAATTTCTTGCAAAAATGGATTTCGTTAACAATTTTGAGGAGCAAATGGGTAAGAATAGTGTAAAAACAAACAAGGAAGTACGAGTATAAGTGTTTGTTTACAATGAGCGTATATACGTAAATATACGTAAATATTTCATAAACCGTAACCGTTCGTACATATCCGTATCGTTTCCGTAAATTTACTTCGCTGTTTACAATAAACCAAAGATCATACTACAAGTAGTATGATCTTTGACCGTACGTAACTTTGAACCATTTTCCATTTTTGCGACTATGCGCAAGACTAAGTGTGCGTTTACAATACGTAAGAAATACATAAAACGTAAACATTTCGCAAAGTTGAACTGTATAGAAACATACGAAGGTGTTTACAATGAACGTAATTTTTACATTATAGTCCAGTCATATTAGTGTTTCACCTCGGAATGAAAGATAATAAGCTATAAACTTGTGTAAACCTTTATTTTGTCATTCTGAAAGTTGTCTCAAAAGTCACATAAAATCTCGTGTCCGCGTCTTAAGATATTCAAGGTCAAAGGTCTCAAAAATCGTTTTTTTGCAAATATCTCGTTTCTTATGGTTTTAATGCCATTTGTGCTTATTATAAAAAGTGTAGGGAATAAAATTATCTACAACTTTTACCCCAAAAATTTGTCTATATACTCAACGGTTATTGAGATAAATGACGGTGAGCGCGCGGCGCTTAGTGGTTTACAGTGTAATTCAAGGTCAACCGTAAGTCCAGGTATAAAGATTATAAATCGTTAAAAAATATATAATTATAAATAATTTTCATTGTTTATTAATTAACGATGATAATATAGTGATGTTCTATTGGATTGCATTAATTTACTTGCAGTTTAAGTTCAAATTTTTCAAAATCTTATAATTAGCAATATTTGAGTATTAATTTTCTTTTTCATCATCATCACCATCGAAAATTTGCAATTCAATATTATTATCGTTGTCAAGGACATTTGTTTCCAGATCTTCCAGAATTTCGGGGTCAAATGCACTGTCTTCATCGAGATCACTTTGATAGGATGAAGTGTTAAGGCACACTTGTCCATTACACTGGCCGCAAGCTATAGGACATTGCAACCCCGATTTCCTGCACCCCCAGCGTGAACCACAACCATTCTTGCAGTTGCAAAATATTGTATTAGCAATTTATCTGGACTTACGGTTGACCTTGAATTAGACTGTAAAGTGTAAACCACTAAGCGCCGCGCGCTCACCGTCCTTTATCTCAAAAACCTTTGAGTATACAGACAAATGTTTGGGGTAAAAGTTGTAGATAATTTTATCCCCTACACTTTTTATAATAAGTACAAATGGTATTAAAACCATAGGAAATGAGCTATTTGCAAAAAAACGATTTTTGAGACCTTTGACCTTGAATATCTTAAGACGCGGACACGAGATTTTATGTGACTTTTGAGACAACTTTCAGAATGACAAAATAAAGGTTTACAGAAGTTTACAGCTTATTATCTCTCATTCCGAGGTTGGCCTTATTTTTTGCCTTAAATGACTGGACTATTTCGTAACATATTATTAAAGAGTACCTACACTTTTTGGATATAGCGGAAAAAGTGTGCACTTTAAGAATATGATAAAAAAAATAGTGGTTGCTATTTAAAAAAATATGGCCCTCTTGAGCAGCAGAAGTCGGACACTGCGGTCCCGCTCCCACCTCCGTAAATTGGTGTTCACCATCGAGATCGACATCTTCTGTGTTTGGTTTTTTTTTTAGAAAAAGTACTGTTGTATAAATAACGTAATGCAGACGTTTTGTTTGGGCCCGGCACGTATAATTTATGTGGAATATTAATTTTTTGGTGTGTTAATTTGGTTGCTGGCTTTGAATTTCGTTATTTCTATTTAAAGTTCAACGTTGTTTTGTGTAAGAATTGCTAAATGTTTAAGTTTTGTTTCAATTCCAACCGCCTTGGAATTTGGAATCGAAATTTGTTTATTTATTTATTTATTTTTTAATGGTAAAAGTGAAAAAGGTTGTATTAAAAAGTTTATCTAGGCCATTGCGATAAGAATTCTTGTTATAGCGTTGTGTAAGATGAAACAATTAGTTTCAAGATAAGCATGTGTTATCGCCGATAAGAAAAAAACAGGTTTATTTCGAAGCTGCCGTCAAATTTGGTGTTAATTGTCTGTTTACGAAATTTATATAAAATATACCAAATACCAAATATAAGTATACCAAATTTCGTCGAAATCACAATTTTTTTCGCAGCCCCATTTAGAGAGGCGCGCTCTTTCGTGTTTACATAATCGGAAAGGGCATACCCCAAAACCTATTCAAAGACGTGCCGCCAGTCTTTGTAACTCTTACCACCACTTTTTTTAGGGTTGCTTCCAAGGAAACGCGTTGGGCCTTCGGTTTATTTAGAAAAAGTGCTTGTTAATTGTTAATGTCAATCTTCAGACGTTCCTCAGAAGCAGCTCAAATATTTTAAAGGGTCTTGCTGTAAAGTTTTTAGAATTTTTAGACATTCCCGAATGATCTAAGATTTTCAAGGGATTTTTTTGTAAAATTTGTATACTGTAGTTTAAAATAAAATGGAAAGCATAACAGATAGGTATAGGGAATGGATTGATATAGAATTTTTTCAAATTTGAAAGTTTCATTTGAAAATAGATATTTATACAACTAGTTTTGAAAGTGATATTTTTTTCATGAATTTGTAGTTTGATTAATGAGGGCGAAGCCCGAGTTAATCAAGTAAATTCATGGAAAAAAGACACTTTCAACACGTGTTGTACATGAAATTTTTTTCCATAGTGATCCATAATAACCCACAATTGAATAATTTTATTGACATTCGCGATTTACTGTCACTCAAAAATGGATGGTATTGTTCATAGACAGGACTAAACTCCATGGAAACGCATAGTAAAAATCGTGAAAAAAAGTACCACTTTCCATACGATTTTTCGTTAAAAAAAGTCCAATAATTCATCACTATGTAAAAAATAAACTTTTTAAGGTTTGAAGTTATTAAAATTGACCATTACTTTTAAAACACCCTGTAGAAGGATCAAAATATAAATCATTCTCATGTAGCAACCATTCAATATTGTTGATTATAGAAGACTTTTTGAAATTCAAGCCAACAGAGTTTAGGTACAGGGATCAAAAGAACAGTGAAACGTCAAAAGTTTTGAAAAATATTGAATAACTTGGAAACCTTTGATGCTGGGCATAGGAAGATGTGGTATCACAAGACGTAGATTTTCATGCAGAGTTTGAAAATGCAATAAAATACAGGGCGTTCTGTTTAAAATAAGAAGTTGTTATCGACATCCCGTAAAATCGGAAAGATCATGAAAAACTTAAGTTGGTATTCCAATTTTGAGATGAAATTTAAACTATCAATGAAAGCCTGAATACTTTTAGGTAGCCTGTATACTAGTAATTACTACTATACATTTAAAACGTGAAATTCTTTTATTTTGCATTTGTCTTGGTTTTTTAAAAAATTAATTAATTCATATCCACACCAGATCTTTATTTGTTTTAAGATGTTATTTTGGTTGCATAAAATTAGGCGCCCTTCAACAGGATGTTGTCATTTAAAAGTAGACATAGAGAAAAACAATACAGCATTACTACACAGTACACACACCTACACACATCAGGAAGCACAACAAAGCACGTTAATCGTTTTTGTTGTTATTGCTTTTAATAAGGGCAGTAAGCTAGCAACGGTCGGTCGTGCTGTGTTGATCCAAGATCCAAGATATGAAGCACAAAGAAGCACTAAATAGGTCCATTTGTTGAATGACGGTCCTAACGATAAACTCAAAAATCATAGGAGAGTCAAATTTTTTTCATAGTCAAAAATAGTAGAATATACAGGTAGGGACTACGCAAATTTATGTGAAAGCACACACGTTTATTTATTTCTTATAAAAATTTGGACATCTCGTGCAAAACTAAGGATCGATACAAATCGCTTTATTTATAAAAAAAGGAGGTACATAA